TATTTTTATTGATTTCAGAGAGGAAGGGAGAAGGAGAGAGAGATAGAAACATTCATCAATGATGAGAGAGAATCATGGGTTGGTTGCCTCCTGCATCCCCCCTACTGGGGATTGAGAGCCTGCAACCCGGGCATGTGCCCTGATCTGGAATCGAACCATGATCCTGGTTCATGAATTGACGCTCAACTATTGAGCCATACTGTCCAGACTAGAAGTGCTTTTTGACTTCTTTTATTTTATACTTTTAAATATTGTTATTGATTTCAGAGAGGAAAGGAGAGGAAGAGAGAGATAGAAACATCAGTGATGAGAGACAATTATTGATAGGCTGCCTCCTGCATGCGTCACTTAGGAGGTCGAGCCTACAACCTCGACCTGGATTATGCCCTGACCGAGAATCAAACCGTGACCTCCTAGTTCATAGGTCAAGGCTCAACCACTGAGCCATACTGGCTAGGCAATTTTTTGACTTCTTAATGTATGTGTGTGCATTACTTTGATAAATATTAAATGAAAACACATATCACTGCGGTCCAAAGGCATATAGATTAGTAAGGTAGATTTGTGAAATGATCTCCAGGAAACCACAATTTAGATAAATCCACACTTTTGATTTTTATTAGAGCTGCTCAGTTACTACTTCAGAATTACACAGAAATATGTGAAATATCTTTTGGACTAGATTTTCACACTGCATTGGCCAGAAAACTAACAGTTCTTCTCATAGCTTTTTGTCTAATGCTGGCTTCTTAAGATAGGTTTCCAAGTGAAGAAATGCTATGTAAACAGTACATATGCCTTAAGTATTGAGTGAATGAAAACAATTCAGCACCCTTAGGGCATAAAAGACACTCTGTAGGTACAACATTGCAATTCTTTGTCTAACTAAGGAAAGTTATTTCTAAGAAAGTGGCTGGTACCTATCACACATTTTTATTCTGGCTTCTTTAAGCAATTTAAAAAATCTGTAAACGGTTCTGAGTGGGACATGTGTGATGGGTGGGTAATAGCATAACCAAACAGCTGTTGTATGGTAATGTAAGAGGAAAGTTGTATGCTATTAAGTAGAAAGTGGGCTGTAACCACTGGGCTGACAGAAGAAACCCCCAATACATATGGTCTTCTACTAGCAGGAAACAAGGCTCCTAGTTTCGGTGATTTATTTTGAACAAGTCAGTAAGCCCTTCGTGAGGCAAGAAAGACTGAAGAGTGAAAGACCAGTTGTCATTTGCACTGTATACTTTTAAAAGATATTAGCTTGTAAGAACATGTAATAAATAACTTAAAAATGCAATGGGGATTTAATTTTAAAGCGTGACTTTACCATTTATGTAAAAACATTTTTTGTACTCGTTCAATAGAAACTAATCTGACCACTGGGTAAAGCTAGCAATAAAACTACTGGTCTCAATGTGTTAAGTAATTCGAAATTATATATAAACTAGGGGCCCGGTGCACAAAAATTTGTCACTGGGGGGAGAGGGTCCCTCAGCCTGGCCTGCAACTTCTTGCAATCCAGGACTCTCAGGGGATGTCTGACTGCTGGTTTCGGCCTGATCCCCACAGGCCAGGGTAAGGGGATTGGGCTGAAACTGGCAGTCTGAAGCACAGGTGGCCAGGGAGGAGCCCGAGCTCAGGCCAGGCACTGCACTGCTCCCACTCATCCTGCTGCGCCTGCCGCCACTGCTGCTCAGTAGTGCTGCAGTGGAAACGGAACAGACTCGTGCAGCTGCAGGTGCACTCACCAGTCGTGAGCCCAGCAGCTGGCACCTGTCGGTCATCTGAGCAGTGCTCCTGCTGTGGAAGCACACTGACCACCAGGGGCAGCTCCTACATTGAGCCTCTGGCCCCTGGTAGTCAATGTGTGTCATAGTGACCAGTCGACCTGTCATTTCAGTCATTCGGTAGTTGTCACGTGGGCTTTTATATATATAGATGCTTACAAAGATTTCCAATGTCTGGCAACTAAATACAATGACACAGTGAGCCAACCATGAATTGAGATTGCCTGCAATCTCATCTCAGTTTTACAATAATG